AACCTGATTTCTTTTTGTGTTTTCGTTTTCTTTGGCCTAAGACTTGAAGATCAATCTAATTATGCAACAAACGTATGATAGTTACCAACCATACAAAAAAATAATAATAATTACACAAGTACAATAAAGAGGAAAAGAATGAAAAGCTTTCCTATGCAAGCAACAATTAACATGGAGTATTTTTTCCCCACCCTACGTACAACTACAAGTTAGGAAAAAAAATCATCATAAACAGATATGGGAACTCATACTCCAAGCAAAATTAAAAACAAATAAAGATCGCCCCAATGTATCTGCACGGAAGGAGTCCAATATGTTTCCATCATTTTCCAAACAAAGATCAACAATGAGCTTTTCATCCAAAAGAAAATCAGTTTCACTATTTCTCAAGCCTTTTTATTCAAGACAATCTGTTGATTTTTTTATGAATAAGATCCAATTTGATTGTTGCTTATGTAATGACTCCACATCAACTCTCTTCCAACACCAATGTCTACTACATCAGCATCAATGTTAGATTCAATGACACCAATATGAACATAGATGCTATTATTCCACCTTTTTTGCTTTTCACACACAGCATACATGGGATCAAAAAAGATTACCACAAACAAAGGAAATTTCACGTCAAGAAAAAATATGTAGCTCATTTTTTCAATTAAACTTTCCCTAGAAAAAAGAGATGACCCTAATAAGATACAGCCATGCCCAATGCATATCAACAGAGCTTTCAATTCAATTAACAGCTCACAAGTTCAGAACTATATTAAAAATGGCAGTTGGTGAGAGAGACAGAGTGTTCAACAATTCAACAAAAAGGCTTCTTACAGTATTCAACAATCGACTTTCAGGTAAACCAAAACCAAGGACAATAATCAACAACGATACTTGAAAATGACAACAAATAGGAGTAAACACTAACTGAAAAATGCTTAAACTTATGAAGGTTCCTTTGTTCTTAATTTTTTTTACAATATTGCAGGAAGAACGACTCTGAAGCTTTTAGCTTTGAACTAGGGGAAAAACTAACCTTACAGTCTGTGTTCAAAAGAGATACAAGAGTCTTCATGCTTTAAAACAATAAATGCTTAATTTGTGTCCATAATGTTTTTATTTTCCAACCCGAAGATATTTCATTATCTTTGTTCTGTTCAGGAAACTTTTAATGCGTTACTATAAGCTCAAAAAGATCCCAACAAACATTTAAAATACATGAAAAAGACAGGATTTGACTTCTTTTGGGGTGAAATTTTCCTTTCACCTTAGATAAAATAACCTATTTCACGAAAAAAGTTAAGAGTAAACTTCATATGTAGTCAAGTCCGTAAAATAAAACTCAGTCAACTAAAACAAAAACAAAAAAATAGAACGACAATAATTACAACCAGAAACACCAATTCATTGATAACCTTTCCAGTAAAAAAAAAATGAAAACGGGAAAAACCATTTGAAAGAAAAAGAGGTGTACCCAATTGAAGTAGCAGAAGCAACTTGCATAAAAGAGAAAAATAATCACTACCCCTCTGCAAATTGCTTAGTATTACATAAAAAATATCAAGGAGTGAATCTATTTATGAACTGAAATGAAATTAGTAATATTTTTTTTATAAAATTGTAATTGATATATGTTATTGAGATAGCTGGCAACCCCAAAATTTTTATTGTAACACCAAGTATTACAGGAAAAAAAAAATCAAGGAGTTGCACAGTTTGCCAATGATCAATCACTTAATCCCAAGATACCCAACATACCAAATTGCTTCCTGATGACTAACCAATCCAACCCAAGCATAACCTACGTGTCCGTACATGTCCCAGTGCTCCTTTTCCATTGTCTAGGCCACCAGCACCTGTGCTCTGCTTAGAATTCCGTAAACACTCGTACAAATTGATATAAATATAAAGCAAACTATGATTTTAATCACTTGTGCGATGATCAATATCAGTAAGTCCCCCATTGCTACAGAACCAAAAAAGAAAAAGTGTCTACAGAGTGAAACAAAAATAAGAACCAAGAGAAGCTTTCTAATTTACTGTAGAACATCCCATGCGTTTTTCCACAACCATGAATTCAATAACTAGGTAAGTACAATCATAAACCAAACTAAAGCAACAATTTAAACCTAGAGCAAACAAAATCACCCAAACAAAAAAAATAAGAAGAGAAGAGACAAAGCAAACCTTCAGGGCTGAGCAAGGAAATACTGCGACAAAATCCATGAACGTCTACAGAGTGAAACAAAAATAAGAACCAAGAGAAGCTTTCTAATTTACTGTAGAACATCCCATGCGTTTTTCCGCAACCATGAATTCAATAACTAGGTAAGTACAATCATAAACCAAACTAAAGCAACAATTTAAACCTAGAGCAAACAAAATCACCCAAACAAAAAAAATAAGAAGAGAAGAGACAAAGCAAACCTTCAGGGCTGAACAAGGAAATACTGTGACAAAATCCATGAACGTCTAGCAGCAAGAAGAGCAAATCAAGTGGAGAGGAATAGAATGCAAAAGAGACAAGAAAGAAGAACCAAAAAGAGGCAGAAAAGCTCTTGCAAGATAATTTAAATAATAAAAAGATAAAACTTCAAAACAATAACAGGAGCCTCTCCAAATGATAGATGTACGTAATAAACCATAAGGAGTCCGATAAAAGTAACTACAATAAACACTATTACGGAAGCTAAATACAGCATAAAGTGAATTATAGTTATATACAGTTATAAGACATATCGACTACTATAGTAGTGACACCAAGCAAATCAATTTCCAAGTCCCTCTGCATCACATAAAAGCAAGAACACATCATCTAAAAATTACTGCTAGATGCTAGTTATTCCGTATTCTTCTTGACAAAACAATAACTGATATTAAAGGCCAAAAAAATCAACTCTTGCATCTCAATGAAGCATATCATTCTAATTCCTAATGAAACTCCACGCGCTGAAACAATAATAAGGTAACATATTTGAAGTTAAGGACCTTTTTACTTGGTTTTCTCACTTGTAAGCCCCTTTTACTATGCATTCTTATGGCCCATTTGATCACAGAAATTAAAATTTGTTTAAATTTTTGTGAGAGAACAATGTAGCCCAAAAAAAAAAATCGAACACATATTTTTCAGTTCAAACCTATGAAACAAGCAAAAGCTTAGTTATTTTTCTAGACTTCTAAGGATTTTTCTACAAGCCTCATTGATCCATCGATCATTGTTCACACTCTATTGTAAGCTTCCTCAACTCTATCTCATTGGGTATTTGTTGCATTTAAATCCCTCTTTTAGTTCTCTTCGTAAATAAATGATGGTAAGTCAAACAATTTACTTGGATAATATACCTTTTTTAAAATTTGATACTTTTCTCCAGGATGATTTCCTAATAGAATGTTGTGTTCTTTATCCACAATATCCACTAAAAAAGCATCACTTTACCTAATTTTGAGCTCTCTGTTGCAAAATGGCCAAGACAACTCCAGTTTGAGAGAAAGAACAATGTTCATATAACATGTCTAAAACAAAATTATGCGGTCAAAGAAGACTAGAAACGTCTTAACTTGATCATAAGCTGATATAAGAGAAACACATGACTTCGTTTATACGGTGCAAAACATTTAGATAATTCTTTACAAAGAAAAATCTTAACCTGTAAAGGATATACGATAAAGATGATTTGATAAAACAATAATTCCACGTGGTAGACTGCTAGGAAAAAAAACAATATAAATTCCACAAATGAACAAAAATATTACTAATGGTCCTCCAGCGAATTGCTCTCCATTGGCATGCCACAATTGCATGGAGGGAGAAAAAATAAAAGTATTGAATAAAAAATAATCTTTAATACAAAGTATTTTAATTCTCTGCTACTAAAATTCAAGGCCAAGATGTCAGAGTAGTGGGAGCGCAACCAATTATACTAATATGAAAGTTATTGCATAAGTAGAAGTAAAGAACCTTATAAAATTTTACTTGAATACAGTAGCACTTTACCATATTTTGAGCACTCTTTGCAAAAGGGTAATGCCTTGGTCCTTTTGTACATACAGATAATTTTAACAAGTGTGGGCAAGCTGTCATGAAGGAATCAGACTCAATGTCTAATAATCTGTCAACTTTAACCACATAAGAAAAGGAAAAACTTTGAAAACTGAGAAACAACAAAAAGAGAAAAAATAAAGAACATCCAAATTTCATGTAAAGTCGGTAAGCTGAAGATATTTAAGGGTAGAAAGAAATTACAGTGTTACTTCTTTCTGTCACTCTCTCTATCACATTTTACATTCACAATTTCACATGTGGACTCTACTAACATAATATATTATTATTTAAATAGAAAACGAGATAGTCCACGTATCAAACAATGAATGAAGAAAGTAACAGAGAGCGACATAAAGAAGTTACGCTAGCATTTCTCAAGGGTAGAAGGTTGAAAATGAATCAAAATAAAAACTAACATAGCCATGTATTGGATGATTGTATAACTAATTGTGTAACTAAACCCAAACACAATCTCTTACTCCCACATCAGCTAAATTCTTCAGAACATGCTTTGACAAAAAAACAACTAAACTATTAACGATAAATAGAAAAGAAAATAACATGGTTTGAAGAGAAAAAAAAAAACAAAAAAAAAACACAAAAACGAAGAAAACAACATAACAAAACAATATATATTTGATAAATTGATTCATGATATCTCTTAGTGGAACATAGATTTACTCTATAAGTTGGAGTTGCAAAATGTATTGTACGAGAAAAAGCATAGAGAAATTCATGTTGTGAGGGATATCAGAGTTCAAGACACCTTTTGATCAATCGTAGATTTCTATAAAAGAGTTCCCCATCCTATACTTCTACTTGATCGATCGTCCTATATTTTGTGCGTGTGTACATTAGATTACGCATTTGTCTATATAAATTATAGTTAAAAAAAAAAAACCAACTACATGTATTTTGGAATATAGGTCGTCAGACCAATTAAACCGCTTCATATTTTCACCCTGCAATTACTAGAAACACATATATTATCATTTGAGAAAATCATTACGTGAGGAAATCCAACCACTCAGCCTCGATTATTTACCCCAGTTCCAGAATCCGTCCAATCAATCAAACATGAGCCCAAATGAGTACCCGGTTCCAGAAACCGTCCAATCAACCAAACATGGGCCCAAACGAATCGTTTGGTTTTGGAAATCTTTGTAGCTCTAGACCTCTGTTCAGTGATATAAACACATGAATGCATGAACTTGATCAAAATCAAAAAGAGAGAGAGAGAGAGAGAGAGAAGTTCGGCAAACAAGAGAAACGAGAATAAAAAAAATCCAGAAATTGTTATTCAATTTCATATACCACACGTGTTTTCACGCAAAAGGGAAAAAGAAATCATTACATTCATCTACAGATTCACACGGGAAAGAAAAAACGAAGCAGAAAGTACTACCAAAAAATTAAAAAAGAATAAACAATCAACCAAAAAATTGAAAAAAAAAACGTATTCAATAGTACCAAATTTGAAACAATCACAAGAAAGAAATCTGAGCAGCAAATTGAAAATAATTATAATAATAATATCAACAACAATAACAATGAAGACGATCTCCTAAATTTGCACAAAACAAACAGCCCAAATGCTCACGAAAAATAAGCAATACATGGAGAACAGTGATTCGCCGGAAGTGGAGCATGAGAGAGATGATGAAATTTAGGAAATTAAAACCATAATCTTTGAGAGACTCACCTCTGAGCGAGTCCACATTCGATCATGCAGAGAGACGACAAAAGGAAACAGCCCCAAACATCGCCTAAAAAAAAGCCGTTGAAACGTTTCGCACATTTCGTTTGGCCCCCACCCCAGAAACGGATTCTGATTTAGTACTGTAGATAGATTCACAAGAATAAAACTTCAAGATCCAAAAATTTCTAAATCAGAATCTTCAATCTTTATTCAAGTAAATTAACCAAAGATAAATATAAAAACAACTTAATACAGAACAAGCGAGTCAAGAACAAACAAGATACTGAAAATCTCCCAAATTCAAGTTCTAAAATGAAAATATAGTATTTTTAATTTTTTCAGTACCCTTATTTCCATTTGTTTCCTATTGTTTCAAACTTAAAGCCAAAAAGAAAAGGGAATGCGAAATTTGACATGTTAACTCAAGGAATCGTTCAAACTTCGCAGCATAAAACAAAAAAAAAAAAAGGATTGAAATGAAATTAGCGTTCACCCTGAAACACACACCTTAAACTTTGAATACTCAAAATCTGCATTTTTTTTCTATAGATCAAAATCTGCTTTTAAGTTTAACATTATCAAACACACTAATGTCAGGCATTAACAATATTAAAATCAGAGATTTTACACCATGCATAAGAAGAAAATACCATGCATAAAAATATCCCCAAAGGAAAAAAGTTAAGAGCTCAAAACCCTAGGATAGAGAAATTGGAAGATTACTCATGATTTACGGCAGAGATTAGGCAATGAAAACCGATCAAGTCTTGCTACACAATTCCCACCGAAATTACCTCCATGTGAAGTTCAGGAAAGAGCCTTCTGGAAAAAGGAAAAAAAAAAGTTCAAGAAAGAGAAAATGGAAAAAACAAAATCAAATCTGAACTCGAAATTTGGAAAGAGAAAAAGAGAAAAAGATTGTCCAGTCTAGAACGATTGCACGGATCTCGGCGCCGTGATGCGGATCACGGACCTCGCGACCAGTTTTCTGACGAAAAACAGCTCCGATCTTCTTCGCGTTGAGACCAGCCGAAACTGCTGGTGTTACCTCACCCAACTCCGGTGATGGCAGCACGGCACGGTGAGATCCTCCGCGATCTCGAGCGTCGCGACGCTGGCGTTTATCCACCGACAGAGACGACGGGGAGAGAGAGAGAGAGAGAGAGAGTGAGAGAGAGAGAGAGGGGGGATGGAGAGAGAACGAGAGAGAAGAGACAGGAAAAAAAAATAACAAATTTGGGTTTGAACATAACTGTGGGCATTTTGGTCTTTTTGGTTTCTTTTTAAACACGGTAATTTAACCATTGTATCACTATTAGCTTAGTTTGATATTACTTTTCCCTCTCAAAATCAACTTCTATCGGTAGTAGAACTTCATTTTAGTGTTTAGTAAATATTCTTAAAAGTGTTTTTTGAATAATTTTTAAGAATGTACACTCAAAATCAGAAGCAGTCTAAAGATAAATTTAGCTTTTAGATTGGACGGGAATTAACATAATACAATTAATAAAACTTTCATAATACTCATCATACCTCTAATGAAATTTAAAATTTATAATATTCCCAATTTAAAATTCAGACTAGTAATATTGTAATAAATAATATCATAATTATATTAATAACTCTAATATTATTATTTTATCATATAATATAATATTATAATTATATTATAATTATTTCAATAATATGATATTGTAATTATAATATAATTATAATTAGAGATGTCAAACGTGTCGGGCCGGCACGGCACACTTGACCCCAGGTCCATCACGGGCCTAGGCCGTGCCTGGGCCGGGCTTAAGAAAAAAAACTCATGCCCGGTCCAGGCCTTTGGCTCTAGTCCATAAGGGTCAGGGCCGGGCTTGGGCCCAAGCCCTTCAAGGGCCGGCCCCGGCCCTTGTATTTTTTTTAAATTTAATTATAAAAAATATCATATGCCCCAAAAGATGTGATTTTATTGAATTGACGTAATAGGAGTACACATAAATGACTGCCTCGTTAAAAACCTTGGTAAGTAAAACCCGTGGGGAGATCGGGACAAAACCTTAGCGAAGGAAAAAAGAGTGCAGTAGCTAGGAATAGTAAATTACAAACCTAAGTGCTTCTAGAAGATTTTGTTATTTCTAAGTTAGAAAAATATTCTTGCATCGAATCGTCTGTGTATTGTTGTTTTTGTCTTTTGGCATCTTCCCAGTCTTTAACGCAGATTAGTCCCTCCAAGATATCTGCATGCATTCTGCTTCTCTTCTCGTCAAGAATTCGGTTGCTTGCGCTAAAAGCTTGCTCCGATGCTACCGTTGACACTGGAGTTGTCAGAATGTCACGAGCTATTATGGACAGTGTTGAAAAATGATCTATCTTGCTCTTCCACCAATGTAAGATGTCTAGTTTGTTGTCATCGATTACAAAATTTGCTTCAAAATATTTGACTAGTTCCGTAAACGCTTGTGTTGAGGACGATCCTGCCGTTTTCTCTTTCTTCTTCAAGAAACTCCACGACGATCCTTTAGGCCCCGAACTGGTAGTTGACGACGAAGTTCCCTGTTCTTTTTGACATGTGCTATATTTTGCTTCATACAAACTAAAAACTTTTTCTAACATTTTCTTAGCGTCAGTAATACTTAGTTGCATATCTATTTTTAAATTCTCTGGGGTAGCAGTCATCAATGATTCAGTTCCATCTACTCCGCATCTAGGATCTAAAATGGTTGCCAATGCATATAACATAGGACAACTTAACCAATAACTTTTAAATTTATTTTCCATTAAGTTAACTATATTTCCAAAAAAGGTTTGTATCCCTATAATAAGAAAATGTTTCTGAAATATTAAATAGTTGATGTAAAGCTAAATGTGCAGTAGGATAATAAACTCCATAAAGTAATTCAGTAGTATTGTAAAAAACTTCTAAAAATTTAAAAAAATACTCAGCAATCTGCCAATCAGGATCGAAAATTAAAATTTGATCGTTCTTACTGTTTACGTATGTCGTGATAAGCTGTGAATACGGGAGTGATGCCTTCAACATTAAATATGTTGAATTCCACCTATGTCTCACGTCAGTTGGAAACTTTCTTGGGTGCATCTGGCTGTTCCTGCAATATTGTTTGAATTCTTGGAGCCGAGCTCCAGAACTAGATATGAAGGATAATGATTCTCTAATATTTGTAAGATTAGTTTAGATATGTTCAATTCCTGTCTGAACTACTAAATTAATTATGTGACATGCACACCGTTGATGAAAAATTTCCCCTCCAAATGCCGGTTTCAAACTACGTTTAAACAAATTAATTGCAACTGTATTAGCTGACGCATTATCAAAAGTAATTGTTAAAACTTTATATTCTATCCCATAAAACCCAAAAATTTCTATTATTGTACTAAAAATAACTGTTGCGTTATGAGGATATGTACATAAACGAAAACCAATTATTCTTTTTTGTAAAACTTAATCGTCATTAACGTAGTGCGCTGTGACACATAAATATCCAGTTTTATTACACCTCTCCCACAGATCAGAAGTGCAAGACACAGTAGCATTAAAAGTTCTAAAATTATCAACAAGAGATTGTCTCATTGCATAAAAAACTTTCATGCAATCAGAACGAGTTGTGTTTCTACTTACCCGTTTAAATTGTAGGTAAAAGGCTGTCTGGATGAATTCTTCGAAGGAGGCATCATCTGCAAAAGAAAGAGGCAATTCGGCACTAGCTAGAAATTTAGCTAGTGTCTCACGAGCACGTTATGCATCATATGTAAAATTTTATAACCCATGTGATGTGAGTAATAGTGTTTGTTGGCAGGAGTCCATACTCTCACCTTGGTGCAACGGTAGACATACTTTCCAATGTCTATCCAGATGACCAGTATCCCCACCCTTTTTTATTAGAAAAGTGCTTTTTACAATATTTACATATCGCACGAATTTCCATCTCACTTGTTTTTGAATTTGGTCGGAGCTCCTTGGTGAAATGCTGCCATGCCGGAGAAGTTCGCGGTCTTTTTTCTCTGCTGCGTTCTCCAGCTTCCTCGTTGTGTATTGAAGCATTATCCACCGGAGCATTTTCTGGTTCAGTGGGGGTGGGGTTGGAAGGCATCATTTCTTCCTCAAAAAATGTCTCTTCACCAGCTCAGGAAGAGCAGTGAAATCAGGGAAGTTTGGTGAGACCATTTTCTAGAAATTGATAGAACTTGATTGAACTTTGTAAATGAAAGAGCTAGAAAATGAATGAACACGAGAAAAAAGCTTAGAATCAAAATCAAAGAGACAAGTTGAGAGATAGAATGAGAGTGAGATGAGAAGATGAGAGTGAATTGTTGTGTGGGATTTATGGTGGAATTAAGGGGTATTTATAGGGGATTTTAGGGTTGAAATTCAGTTTTTTTCCGTTGGGCCCAACGTGTGGCACGTGACGGGCCTCCCATTTGGCCCATCACGTGCCAAACGGGAGGCACGTGAGCCTCTAATTTGGCCCATCACGTGCCAAACGGGAGGCACGTGACGGGCCAAACGGGAGGCCCGTCACATGCCGAACGTTGGGCCCACGAAGGGCCCCCTGACCAAATGAAATGGGCTTCTTCGTGGGCCGTTTTGCGGGCTTGGGCCGGGCCGAATAAGGGCCGTGCCGTAGGCCTCCACGTGCTTGGGCCGTGCTTGGGCCGTGGGATGAGAAGTTGAGGCTCATCCCTAGTCCATTACACGTGCCGTGCCGGCACGGCCCGTAACAGTAACGAATCGGGCCGTGCCGAATCAGGCACTATTACAGGCTGGGCCGGACCGTCCATGGATGGCCCGGCCCATTTGACACCTCTAATTATAATATGATATTGTAATTATTATATTAATTTTATAATATATTATATATTATATTGTATTGATATTATTATATTTATTATATTAATAGTATTACAATAATATTATTATATTATATTATATTATATTGATATAATTATATTTATTATATTAATAATAATATAATAATTAATATAATTAAATATTAATATAATCTTATAATTCTAATATC